TCTATGCCACAAAACCCCCGTGCGCCCCCCCCACAATGTACAATCCCCAGGGCGCAGCCCCCCAGGCCTTTGAACACAACAAAACAATTTCCTTTTTTTTTCGGGGGCGGGCCCGGGGCCGGATGAATTTGTCTTGTTTCCCCTTACAATTAAAAGGAAACTCTTTTTCTCCTTTTCTTTTTTTTTTTGGGGGGGGGGGGGGGGGGGGTGAGTGTGTGTACATGTATGTGTGTGTGTGTGTGTGTGTGTGTGTGTGTGTGTGTGTGTGTGTGTGTGTGTGTGTGTGTGTGTGTGTGTGTGTGGTAAGCAAAGGATGTGATGTGTCATGCACCAAGTGCACGAGTTTTGCACGGGCTGAACACAGCCTGAAGCTTCAACAAACACACAACACATTATGTGGCACATCGAGGCTTCTCACTTCTTGTCATCGCGCTCTGCGGATGGCTCGGACTTGCTGCGTGTGCGTCGCTGCTGCATCTGTCAAATGGGCACACGAGCGTGGTGAGTGCTGTATTCACGTGTGTTCACGTGTGTTCACGTGCGTTCACGTGTGTTCACGTGTGTTCACGTGCAACGTGAAGGGAAGGTGCAGTGGCAGGTCGACAGCAGAGTGCGTTGGGGGAGGTGTTGTGAAGCTTACCCGCTGCGCTGGCGACTTTCCGCCACCGCGATTCCTGATCGCACGCAAACAGCGTGTGTCGTGGTGTGGTGTGTTGCGTTGCGTTGCGTTGCGTGTGGTGTGGTGTTGTCAGAGAGGTGAGCAACCAACTTGGACACGAAAAGGACATGAACCATGCACAACGCATGCCCTGAGCGGTGGGGGTGGGGACTCACTTCTTCTTTCCTTTCTTGCCCATAACAATCGTCGATGCACTCGACGTGAGTGTGTGTGTGTGTGAGTGAGAGTGAGAGGTGAAGTGGGGTGGTGTTGATGTTGAATGGCGTGTGGTGGGGTGGTTGGAAGCGGACACGTCGCCAACTACTGTTTATGCTGCTTGAAGCGAGAAGAGTTGAGGAGGAGCTTCAAGGTCCGTGAGCGTTGTTGCGAGGCAGTTGTGATGCTGATGAAGAGTTGTCAGCAAGCGATGATAGGATGATTGATCCTATGAGCGCCATGACGGTGATGTAGGGGTGGTGCGGCTTGCTATGCAGAGGGCGTAAGCGCTGATTGTGGCCGTCATGAAAAAAAGCACACTCGAAGGAGGTTACACACTACAGCACTCGTTGACGTTGACAATTCACATTTTCACCTTCACACCACCACCAAACATCATCATCATCACTACATACACTATGGGCATCGTCACGATTGGCCAGTGCCGTGTAATGTGCAGGCTCTCATCCATGATGATGCTGTGTACAGAGAGAGAGAGAGAGAGAGAGAGAGAGAGAGAGAGAGAGAGAGAGAGAGAGAGAGAGAGAGAGGTTGTGAGGATGATGTTCGTACATGCGAGAGGCGTGTTGTGTGTGTGCTGTGTATGGGGGGTATCAAAGTATCAACTTGCGGGCGTTCGTTTCGTTCGCGCTTGCTGGTTCGTTCGAAGTACATACAGCGCAGGGAAAATGGAAAGAAAGCAAGGAAGGAAAGACGGAAGGAAAGGCAAGGGAGTGGAACAAATCGAACAATGATTTTTTTTTGGGGGGGGGGGGCGCACGCGCAGGGTGTTGTGACATGAATAACTTGCAAATCGTCTACAGGCGGCATGAGATGGGTGAGGAGTGGGAACATCAACGAAATGAGGAAATACGAAGAGCAACGCAAGGTGAACGAGTTGAGGGTGAAATAAACTGATAAAGGCGCTGAAGAGAGAGAGAGAGAGAGAGAACTATATAATGTTCGCCATCGCACACACGCTAGAAATCTGGAAACAGAAGCGCAAGGACAACATACTGTGTGATCAAAAGCAAGCAAACCGTCACTCATCCAGTATCGTAAAAGAAGGCAACACACACTCAACAATATCTCTGTCTCGGCGGCCTGGAGCTTCTTTGAATCTCTGCATGCTTCATCAGCCTGTCATATCATAGTCATTGGTACTCCACACGTGTTTTGGGCGAGCACCAGGTTCGGACACCGAAACAGCCCTGCTGCCACTGGCGAGATGATCACAAACTTCTTCGTAGACTGGGTCAGGCGACGAAGCACGTGGTGCATGAATGGGAGGCGGAAGCCCGAGGCCTATTGTGGAGGCAAGTGTGTGCTCAGGTTCCAGGTTATCGTAGTCTGGGTCTGATCCAGCAAACTCGATTGTATCGTATGTTGGGGCACCGGCCTCATCGGATTCATCTGTCCCAGCATCTCCGACGCCGAAGGTTGGATTCTCATACAGACTCAACCCTAGCGCACAAGACAGCATGACCAAATTAGGCACGTGCGTGCAAACGAAAGTCAGAAGTTTGATGACATGTTGGGCTAGCACAATCAACAACACGTCAGTGAGTATGACAAAGCAGTGTGCAGGGTGGTCAAGCATACCTGTTCGTGGCCCACGAACGTCCGCCTGGTGTTGCTGCTGATGTTGCTGTTGTAATTCAAGCACACGCACGCAGGGAATTCGCGACAAATCAACCGGTGTGAGAATCGCTAGCAAGGGTTGGGAAGAATAGTGGCCGTGGTCACCCAAACACACAAACACACATTTACGCAACAGGAGCTGGTGTCACACATTGGTCTGAAGTGAGACGCGTCCTCCACGCCTTCGACGCAAAACCACTATCGCAACTACAAATACAATGCCCAGGACGCCTGCAACCAAGCCAAATGCAAGCTTCCATGATATGGACGAGCTGCGTTTCGCAGACAAGAATGGCAGAAAGGGAAGTCAGGTGTGAACAACGATTCGTCACAGAGATGCTCAAAATCCACAACAGCACATATGTACCTGTACACAAGCTCTCCAACCTTGCGTTGCTAGTTTGGCTCGGATTTGCAGCGCTCGTGGAGATATTGGCTGTTGTTGTTGTTGTTGTTGTTGTTGCAGATGTTGTTGTTGTTGTTGATGTTGTTGCTGTTGCAGAAGTTGTTGTTGTTGTGGTTGTTGTTGTTGTTGTGGTTGTTGTTGTTGCAGAAGTTGTTGTTTCAGTTGTTGTTGTTGTTGTTGTTGTGGTTGTTGTTGTTGCAGAAGTTGTTGTTTCAGTTGTTGTTGTTGTTGTTGTTGTTGTTGTTGTTGTTGTTGCAGATGTTGTTGTTGTTGTTGTTGATGTTGTTGCTGTTGCAGAAGTTGTTGTTGTTGTGGTTGTTGTTGTTGCAGAAGTTGTTGTTTCAGTTGTTGTTGTTGTTGCTGTTGCAGAAGTTGTTGTTGTTGTTGTTGTTGTTGTTGTTGTTTCAGTTGTTGTTGTTGTTGTTGTTGTTGTTGCTTGTGCTGAAGCTGGAGGTGGGAGCTCTTCACATTGTGTAGTGCGAGAGAAGCTGCCCTCAGCAGCTGGTGCAATCCCGGCTTGGATGTGCAGGTCAAAGAAGACGAGCTGGTCGGTTGATTTGGCGGAAGTGTCAGTGAGGAGCAAACGTGTGCAGTGGAAAGAAGTAGCGGCGTTTGAGACGATGGCGTCGGCTGAAAACCCAACCATCGCCGACACGTTGGGGAACGAGTTCAGAACGGTGACGACGCTGATGGAGCCACCACTCAGGTGGAAGACAAGACCGTTGAGGCGCTGCGTCTGCCTCGGGTCCGTGGGACGCCAGGTGACCTGCACCATTCTTTCATCGCTTGCTTTGGAGCTGATGACGAATTCGCCCTGGGAGCAGTCCTTGTCCGACGAGCCCACAGAGCATGCTGCGTACTCAATGTCGCCAATGATGACCTTCACCTTGGAGAATACGACACGGAAGGCTGGCTTGTCATCTGGGTATTGGAGATCAAATGAACCAGCAGGCACCACGATCATGGTGGTGCTCGTCAATGTCGTTGTTGTCATCGGTTCTGCACTTGCTGATGATGCTGCTGATGATGTGGGCGTTGCACCCAGTGACAAACATGATGGCAACTTCCCCCAGCTGCCGTCTGCTCGGCACGTCAATGACGAAGCCCCAATCAGCTTATATCCTTCTTCGCATGACACGATTGCGGTGGCAGGATATCGGGTAGAGTTGACGCTCAACACAGCATGCTCGATGACTGGGGATGAGCAAGCCACGCCCAGGCACGAGCCAGGACTTGACCCGCCACACCCAAAGCGATACTTGCCAACGGGGCACGACGCGCACGGAGAGCACGTTGTTTGGTTACTGCTGGCGCTGTACTTGCTGGATGGACAAGCAGTGCATGATGTGCCATTCCCGTAAAAGCCGGGGTTGCACGAGCACGTGCCATCACACGAGTCATCGCAGCTGATGCCTACGCACTGGTCGCAGCCAGTGTTGCAGCTGCCATCACAACCCCTGCGCACGCCAAGAAACGAGCATTCAATGAGTTGCGTGGAAGCGCGAGAAGGGGTTCAGAGGCAGAATCATATCCAGCACAGACCCAAACACCAAGTGTTTACGTGTTGCATGGTCCATCGCAAGAGTCATCGCAGCTGCCGGTGCAATTCGTCGCGATGCAGTTATCGCAGCCTTGCGTGCAGCCTGTTTGTGAACAACGGCAAGCATTTGCATGTGAATGACAAGTCAACAGTGGCAGATATGGCATTAGGCCGAGCAGCATGAATACAGCGACACCCATGCTGTGTCATACATCACATCACTGATACTGACCGGTGTCACAAGAGTCATCACAACTGTAATCACAGCTCGCTGTTGCATGGAACATTGGAAGGAAGCATGGCGACACATTTTTGTGGAAGCGAGAATGATGAGTGAGCGGCGGTGCGTGTGTGTGCGTGTGTGCGTGTGTGCGTGTGCGTGTGTGCGTGGCTGCGTGTGTGTGTGTGCGTGTGCGTGTGTGTGGCTGTGAATGCGAGCTGAAGTTTGGCTTGTGAATGTTTGTGGACTGCAGACAAGCTGGTGGATGTGACTCTGTGCCTCTATGCTGTGAGAGGCATGCGAAAACGAGAAACAAGCAGGACGAGTGAGCAGTATCAGGCGCAGCAACGGTACGTACTCCATCCACAGTTTTCATCGCAGCTGCTGACGCAGTCCCACCACAAAGTTCCGCAACTGGAGTCGCACCCACTGAGAATTGAAAGCCGATGATGCGCAGATTCGTATGAGTGAATGCACGAGAGGGAAGCAGCAACACAGTTAGATATACACATACACACACGCACACACACACATACACACAATCGACCAGGCTTCAAGCCACTGTACTGACGAGTTGCATTGGTAGAGGTCACACCCATCGCAGCCTGCGTTACACCCTGTGTTGCAAGCCAGATCACAGCTGCTGCATCTGCAAGCCATGAACAGAAAGAAGCACAGGGGATAACGGGATGAGAAACAGCCGATCATCATAAGTAACAGTGAACCGTCACTCATCGAGGGGGTGTCAGCAATCATGACAAGCACACGTACGATTGGCCGTAGCAAATGTCGCAGCCTGTGTCGCAGCTCGAGCACGTGTCATCACAGAGGGTGTTACACGAGTCATCGCAGCCGGTGCATGATTGCCTGCACACCACAAAGAGAGCACACAACGAAGGTTAATCCGCATGGGCAAAGATGAGAATCAGTGCGCGAGGCCGCCCACGCAAAGTGCAACGTGTTCATCAAGCAAAGCAGCGGTATGTAACTCACCCGTCACAGCCCGCGTTGCATGCACTGTTGCATGTGTACGAAGCCGTGACTGTTGCACGCTTTTGTCGGATGTTCTACATTTGTGACAGCAGTACGGCAGACACTGTGAGATGGGGGATACAATGCAAGGCACATACACACACACACACACACACACACACACACACACACACACCGCCACTCGCAAACACATCACCACAATACGCAAGCGCAATGAGCATACTGACCGCGAGTGCTGCTTTGTGGAAGCGGGGCGACGTCACGTCCACGGGCATTTTGCCGCGTGCGCACAGCTGCTCCACAACAGCGGCGGCCGACTCCTCGCTGCACACGCGCTCAACAAGCGCGCCAATGCCGTCTGCATTCAGGAACGCGTCTACGTTGTTCGCCTTGGTGTACGTCTCAAGCACATCGGGTCCAACTTCGCGACACAGCGACTGGAACGACGCCACAAACGCCTTCGCCTCATCACGCTCACCGCCAGCTGCACTGCCATCGCCATGCTGCTGCTGCTGCTGCTGCTGCTGCTGTTGTTGTTGTTGTTCCTGTCCACGCGCTGCACACAGCGCACCCGTGTTGAGGTGCCAGGATGGCATGGCCTCCAGCAGCTGCACGCCGCGGTAGTCGCTGATGAGCGACTGCACCGTGTTCTTCCAGTGGCCAAGGAACGCCGGGTTGTTCACAATGTCCGAGCCAGAGAGCGCCGCGTGCATGAGCGCATCGGCCCACGCCAGGCCCTTGCGCTCCAGCGAGATGGTGAGATGTGACGAGCCCTCCTCGCCCGACAGCGCAAAGTGGATGATGCCCTTGGGCATGTACATGGTGTCGCCGGCACGCAGCGTGAACTCGTTGCAGCGCATGCCACGCAGGTCTGCGTCCTGGTACGCCGTGCACCCCTGCTGCCTCTGGCGCCGGATCTCCTGCAGCTGGCCCAGCTGCGCAGGGCTGAAGTGCTTGATGGTCTCTGCCTCGCTTGGGCGTGCGCGTGTGCCATGGCGGCTTGGGAAGGAAGACGACGACGCAGAAGCAGAAGCAGAAGCACCGTGGTCGCCAGTGCCGGTGTTGGTGCTGTCGTCGTCCTCTTTGTTGGTGTCGCTTCCGTCGTTGTTGGTGTCGGTGTCGGAGACGTATGCGTCTGGGATGCAGGTTGTCCAGCGCTTTGAGCCGTGGAGCTGGATGACAAGGACGTCGTAAGGGTCTGTGTGCGGCATGAGGGCGCGCGACTCGTTCTGCGTGGCGTGGTACAGGTGGACCGTGGACTCTGTGCCAAACACGTCGCGCACGCCGTCCTGCAGCTGCTTGACGTGGTCCTGGGCGGGGGAGTCCACGAGGTCCTCGTAGCGGATGAGCAAACCCGCGCCGGCAGCCAGCTCGTCCTCCATCTGCTTGCACGACGACACCTGCCGCGTCTCGCCTTGCTCCTTGATCTGTGGATCGTGTGTGCGTGTGCGTGTTTGTGTGAATGTGCGTGCGTGCGCGTGAATGTGTGTGTGTGTGTGTGTGTGTGTGTGTGTGTGTGTGTGTGTGTGTGGCTGCAAGCGGCAAGGCAGCTGACAACGCTTGCTTGCAGGCAAGGGATCATCATCTCAACCTTCTCCTCCAATGCCCTTCTCCCACCACACCCAGGGTTCTGCTCGCTGAACGAACAACAGCAGCAGACAAGACAGGCGAAGGACAGGCACCAAGATGCCATGCATTTCACGTTCATGTCACTCACATGGAAGCCGCCGCTCTGCTTGTCTTGCTGGTCAAAGGCGTGGCACAGCTCTTGCACTTGTCCGAGTGGCCGTGTCAGGGATCGCAGGCGTGCAGATGTGGCATCCCGTGCAATCAACGTGTCGTGCTGATACACTTCCTCAAAGAAGGCTGTCCGGTTGAGAGGGGGAAGAGGTGGCGGAGTACTGCTATCAGAAGGACTGGTTGTCGTTCTTGCTGTTGTTGTCCATGTCGTGGCTGTTGGGGAGAAGAAGTCCGCCAGCTGCAAGTGCTGCACTGCTACAGAGCGTGCGTGATCAGGAGCAGGTCGAACTGGTTCGCCCAAAGCCAGTGCCACCGCCGTCACCAGCACCAGGAATGCGACGAGGAAGGCGGTACTGTGCGGACAGCGCTGCCGATTCATCTCTCGGAGTTTCCACGCGGAAGAGTGCCCCGCTGACTGACCAAGAGGTTCCCACACTTCCTTTCTTCGTGTTTGGAAAGTAAGCATGAACGTGCAAGGTCTTTCGTGTACGCCTGCGCAGCGGCGCTCGCCACTGCAGGGGTCTTGTATGTACAACGAACCCATCAGCACAGAGCAACTCCACGCACATTCATACAGATAGAGCAGTCGTGCTGGGCAGAGCAAAACAAAGGTTCTAAGCTAACTGACGCGCGCACACACACACACAGACACAGGTCTTCATCCATCCTCCCCTCCCTCAAATATCAATCAAAGTCATCGTCGTCGTCGTCCATGGCGGGTGGCGGTGGCACCAGGTCAATGCCGAGATCAGACCAGTCATCAGCAGCAGGTGGTGGCACTGGCGCGATGTCCTCGTGATCAGCACCATCCCTTCCTTGCTCTGGTTGCTGCGGTGGCGGCGTCATGTTGACAGCGTCTCCGCGATCGCTGCTGTCCCAAACAGGCGGCGGGACGATGTCTGGCATGTCATCATCACCGTCAGCGTCGCCAGCTGTAAGGTCAGGCGGCGGCGGAGACACGACGTGTGCGTCGACATCATCACCATCCCCGTCGCTGTTGTCGATAAGAGGCGGCGGGGGAACGATGGCTGCGTCGTCCATACCATGGGCCGTGGCTGAAGACAGTGCTGCTGGTGGTGGTGGTGGTGGTGCAATGAGGGACATGACCGCGTCATCATCTGTCTGTGCTGTGGATGTACTCGCGTCACTTGCAGAGTGTTGTGGTTCTTGCATCAAGCTGCTTCCATTTGTCGGCTGTGGTTCGTCGGTCTCCGACGTGGTCATCTGTACATCAGCCAGAAACATTGGCGGAGGAATGAAGGGTGAAGTGCTGGCTTCTCCCTCATCTGCCTGCTGCTGCTGCTGCTGCTGCTCCGTTTGTTGTTGTTGTTGTTGTTGTTGTTGTTGTTGTTGTTGTTGTTGTTGTTGTTGTTGTTGCTGCTGCTGCTGCTGCTGCTCCGTTTGTTGTTGTTGTGCTGTGGGTGTTTTCTCAGCGCGTGGCTTTGGTGCCGGCTGGGGCGGAGCGACTGCGGGTTTTGGCCTGGTTGGCGGGGGTGGTTTGCTCGTTGCCGTTGGTCCAGATTGCTGTGGCGCCTCTGGTGTCGGAACGGCCGGCTTGCTCTGTGTCTGCAGCACCTTGCCACAATTGTTTCAACAGGGTGAGCAAGGCGAGACACGTGCGTGTATGAGAATATTGCGAACACACCACCACCAAAATCAACCATCACCCATTACCCATTACCACAACTCACGCCCCTCACATCACCACCACCAACCAGCACCCAAATCATACCGGCTTTGGTCCCGCGGGCGGTGGCGGGGGTTTCGTGGAGCGAAGGCGAACAGGGCCCGCTTCAGCTGCAGGCGCTGTTGGTGTCGAGCCATCTGGTCATGAATGCATGAACACACAAGCATGAGCATACAAACATGAGGACGCGCGTACAAAGCCGTGTCAAAGTGTGGGCTTGGTCAGGTTTGCGTGCAACAAGGCACACGACAAGCACCACATGAAAGGCAGCCGATATGCGCACCTGTTTCGCCCATTGTGTTTGTCGGTGTCTTGCGAAGCTTAATGCCTGGGAGGGCGGGCACATGTATGAGAGGGGGTTGTTGTGTACGTGCTGCTTCCCTCCGACAGCACCACCATCGATCAGTAGCACAATGCAAACAGCAGGAGAATAACCCACCTGCAAACGGGCTGGGCGACGCCTCGTGCTGGTCTTTCCCCGTGGTTGCCGATGCATCACCTTCTCCTTTGCGTAACTGCTGCTGGGGCGCTGTCTTGCGCAGCCTCACGTTCAGAATGCCATCCAACAGCTCATCACCGTGCCCGCGGGCCATGGCCGATAGTGCGGTGCTCGGTGCTGTTGCTGCGCGCTCGCGCATGTGCGGGGTCGACGACGTGGCGCTGCTGCCGTCCATCACGCGACCAACACCGGCACCGCCAAGCCCACCGCGCCCAGCATCCGCGTCTACAGGGATCTGCAGGGCAGCGAAGAATAGCGTGTGATGCGTGGTGTGTGGTGTGATTGCTTGTTGGCAACAAGAGGGCAGCAGGGGCAAGCGGGGAGCTGTGCTGGCACATGGAGCAGCAGCTGCCACCACCGCCACAGAATTCAGGCTGAAGTCGTGTGTACATGGGCACTGTCTGACCTTTCGCAACTTCACACCGCGGGAAATGTCGGCCAACAAGTTCGCCCGGCCCTGCACAGGAGGGCGGAGGAGGAAGAGAAGGAGGACAGACAGGGACACAAGGGAGCATGAGGCGCTTGACAAGAGAAATGACATGGACTGTTCACACACGCACAGACAGACAGACATACAGACAGAAAAACACACACAGAAAATACAAAACACACACACACACACACACAGAAACACACACACACACACGCACCCCTGGACGCGACTGTTGCTGTGACGATGAAGTTGATGGCGGTGGCGGCGGTGGCGCAGGCATGTTTGGAGCAGGAGGGGGTGGTGGTGCCGTGGTGGTGGTGGTGGTGGTGGTGGTGGTGGTGGTAGATGGAGCTGCCGCCGGGGGTGGTGGTGGTGGCGCAACAAACACGGGACCCGTAGCATCGGCGGGCGCACCGAGGAATGAAGTGCCGGTGGTGGTGTCTCGACCGACCGTTGCTGGCGCCTCACGGGACGGCAGCGGGCCAGCCGCAAGCGCATCAAGCGTTGGCCGCGAGCGTTCACGAGAGGCCGATACCGTGTGGAAGCGGTGGCGTGGCGTCCCATCGTGCTGCTGCCTGTGTTCATGCGGCTCTTGCTGCTGCTGCTGCCCGTGGCGTGGTGCTGTTGCTGCTACCGCTACTGTCGATGGCTCCCCCCTGCGGGCGCGTACGCCTGCCAGCCGTGGCGCCAACAAGAGCGGATCGTCCACGTGTGTCGAGTACTGCCGCGTCAATGTTGATGACCGCCGTCGCCCTTCGCCCTTGTCGCCCTCGCTGTCACCGCGTGTGGAAGCCGTGCACGTGTCATCTCCCCACACGCCTGCGCTCGGCTTGCGCTGCATCGCAGCAGACACCGTGTGTCTTCGCCCATCATCTTGTTGCTGTTGGTGTTGGTGTTGTTGTTGGATGCGTGCGGGGTGCTTGCGTCGGCCAGGGCTGGCAGCGTCAATGTCTGTCACCTTGCCTGCACCAGCGCCCGTCGTCTTGGCGGTGATGCCATCAACAGAGCGGACCCACTCCACCGGCACGCCGCTGCTCGCCCTCTGATGGCGCGTGGCGTGATGGAGCGTGACGAGGAGAGGGGTGCAAGGGCGGCGGTAGGAGAGGAGGAGGAACAGCAAGGGGAATGTGAAGGGTGATGGAATTTGAAGGTGAGCGTGAGGGAAAATGTGTGTGGTGTGTGTGTGTGTGTGGGGGGGGGGGTTGTGCCAACATTACAGTTCTCTTCACACACAACTGTACAAGCTCAACATTCTGCACACAAACACAACCGCAGGCGCACGGTCGGTCCAACCTGGGTGTGCCGCTTGATGTGCAAGGAGACAGTGTCACCAGACTTGCGAATCTCCTTGACAACCTGCGCATGTGTGAAGCCAACGACATCAACGTCTCCAACACGGAGCACCCGGTCGCCAACTTTGAGGCCTGCACCCAGACATCACCGACAGTGTGTGAGCGTGAGTGTCGGTGGCAAACGTGAGTGTGCATGCGCGTGTGCTTGTGAGGGTGAATGTGCGGGAGGGCGGCCAGGTATGTGTTGGCGGTGAATGGTGGAACTGACAAGAGAACCAGCACCAGTAATCACACTGCGCGTGTGCAGATGCAGTCTATTCAGTGACGTACCGGCACGCCTTGCTGGGCTCTGCGCATCAACACTGCGAACAAACTGGCACTGGGAGCCGTGGCGTGTGTCGCTGTACAGGTTGGTGGTGCTGGCACGTGAGATTGTAATTTGACGAAGGTCATAACAACAACATGCACCAGTCGCCGCAACTTACACATATTCACAACAAACAAACAAACAAACAAACAAACAAACAAACAAACAAACAAACAAACAAACAAACAAGCAAACAAACACACACATACACACAAAACACACATACATACACACAAAACACACATACATACACACAAAACACACAAACACATACATACACACACCTGTGCACGGCGCCAGCGAGGCGAAAGCCAAACCCCTTCTGCCCCTTTGTGATGGAGATGGTGAGGAACGATGAGGCGGTGGAGGATTGGGCCGATTGTCCGTCGTGGTCGTGTTGGCTCCCGGTGCTGCTCGCTGCAGTGCCCACCCCGCTGTCATGATCATGCCCAGACTCCCGCTGGTGATCGTTCATGATGGCGGTGGTGGTGATGGTGGCGGTGATGATGGAGGTCATCGTGTTGATCACAGGGGCGATAGTTGTTTTGATGGCGGTGTTTGCGGCAGTCGTTGTCGTGGTCGCATTGCCAAGGCCGAGTTGTTTGTGGTGAGCAAGTACAGCGTGAAAACAAGGTGAGGAAAGAGCGACAGCAGCATTGTGCGAGTGCAAGTCTGTTGAGGGATGCATAACGGCAGTCGCCAAGCTAATATCACGCCCCAACACCTCCATCACACGGCGCACCTCGACCACAAAGTGTTCCGGCAGCGTGAAGGGCTGCGGGCCGGTTGGCCGCTGTCTCCCCTCCGC